TTTTATTCCTTCCATCTTGTCCGAATTTCTACCTGAATGTTAATAATATATCGAGAAAAAATTAATGTTGAAAATTTTAAGATGAGTTATTAAACAATTCGATCTTAATAATTGCTTTCAACAATTGAAGATTGAATATAGAACTCAAATTGGTTTAATCTTTTTAATTACTATCAAATCCCGCCATCTTCTTCATTATTTTTTCATAAAGAACACTTCTAAACTATTTCGTAATTAGTTAATTTGTTAAACTTTTAATTCAATTTACAAAATTAAATTTAAATTTACTAAAACAAATAATTTTTTTTAAATATTACAGTAATTCCACGTTTTTGCATGTGGGGTATGTGTGTGTGTGTGTGTATATATATATATATGCATGCGCAAATTCATGAAGTAAAAAAGAAGAAACATAGTTCTCCATGCCATATACAAGAAAATGTAACATTAATTAATAATTAATGAGAATACAGATATACAAATATTGAAGCTGCTAAACACACGACCTCTATATATTTACACATAATAATGTGTATATTAATGTTTTATATGTATTAAATAGTTAATAATCACTCGTTATCAGAAGAGATTTCAATAATCGTCGTATATACAATATATAATGTTTGAAGAGCTACAACCACGGCTGTTATCACGCCGCCATACTTGAGGACTTGTTGCGTAGGGATCAAAGGGGTTTTTTTGGGCAGCTTTACTTCAAGAATCTCATTCTTGAAATTCAATTCGATTTTAGTTTCATCATAATCATTCAGTTCAATCTCTTTGCTAAAACATTTAGTTGTAGTTTCATCAGTCGGACGTTCGCCAGTAATGATTAAGATGTTTTTCTGCCTCTCAGCCTTTAGGTGCTCTCTTTTAAAACCTAATAGAAAAAATATAACAAAAATAAAATTAAAAAAAAAATAGAACATAATTAAAACAAAGATGGATGATCTTAATCAAATTAATTCTGCTTGATAGATTAATTAAATATAGGATGCATACACTTTTCTGTAAGATAGGATACAATACCTGTGAGTTGAATGTGGTAAATAGTATTGATATCATCATCGATTATTCTGGCAAAAGGCTCGAATTTTCTTCTTTGTAACTTGATTATTTTATATCTACTTTCAACAGAAATTACTATAATTTCTTTCTTAACAGAATCAAGATTCCGTAATTTTGGTAGAGAAACCATGATAAAAAATCTAGACAGACACTTGAACTCCTAATACCTAATTTCAGTAAAGGTTTTATCATGAATATTTATAACCACGATATAAAAGGTTTCTTGTGTTTTGTGTTTGAAATAGTACAAGTATTCTAAGTTGTTTTTGTAAGTTATACAATTTATTCCTGTCTCATGAATGCTTCTTAATTTATTTTTTTTTTCAAACAAAGGATATTCTTGTTCTTATTTGACAAGTTTTCATTGTACCCAAATCTTTTTTTGAGTTATACTTAATATTTTTATCTCAAATTGAATAATATTCGCCTTTTGTAAGATGCACAATAAATAATACTTTTGTTTTTGTTAAAAAAAAATGTTAAATTAGATTTTAAAATTATTATGATTACTTTAATTAAGACAATTTATCCGTCTCATAATGTTCCTTTCATTTACAAATATAATAATTTTGTTAATATTTAATTTAATTTGATCATATATCTATACTAATATACTAATAAATTAAATTATTAGTTAGAATTAAATATTATATACCGATTATTGTCAGTTTATAATACAACCATAATGATCCTAATACTTAAGCATTCCTTGTCATTCACATATTTCACAAGCAATTAATCTACTAGTTAAGATTGTTGTTAAAATATAAATAATAAATTAGATTCTTTCTTGTAAACTATAGCTTTAAATAAGCAATTCAATCAACTATAGGTTTAAAAACTTTATTCATTTTCATTATTTATACACTATACACTTTTTTAGTCCATTATTAATTAGGGTTGCAGTTGTACAAAGTGAACCAATTTTTATTTGACTTGCATACTACTTACATGCCCCTTTAATTTTTATCTTCTTCGAGTTTGACTCCTCGTATTAAACTCGAGAAAAAAGTTTCACTTGCACGTGAATTTAATTTTTATCTTCGTAGGGATGGAAATAGTAGAATAATGTTTATAGGAATTTGTTAGATCCTTTTCAAAAGTTTGACGAAAATTGCAAAAATACCGGCACTACTCTATGAACTCGAGATAAAACCATTAAGGAAAGTCCGCAACATAACTATAGAGGACGACTCAGAAATAGTATTTATCTGTGTTCTATATAAAGTTTTTTAAATTATTGAAATGGAGATGTTGATATGAGATGTTTTAGCATTAATTAGGTAATATTTATATGTAATTAATGTTGTTATCACCCAGCCCCGAAACCTTAGAGCAAGGTGATGAGCTATGGAGTTCGCATATTAGATGAAAGGATAAAAAATTAAGAATATATATATATATATATATATATATATGTATATCAACTGAGCTAGTAACTCCCGGAATAAAGCTAGTGGATCTTTAATCAACAAATCACCACCTTATTATAAACCCAATACACAAGAAGATTATCGAGAGATAAAGATTGAAGTTACTAGCTAGCTGTCAACAGAAGAAATCTGATCATAACATATTTTGTAAGTAAAATACGCCCCAACAGCAATTGTCACCAGCAGAACGACCGCCATGGAAGCTTTAAGACCTTTCTTCTTGTTCATATTTTTAAACCTAGAACAAACACCCTCTTTCAACCCGCTTCTCTCTACGCCACCTCTACTACCATCTTCTTCTTCTTGTCCTCCTGGTGTGACGCCTGAGTTGGTCCGAGCTTGGTTTTTTACTTCTTGATCAGACGGCGGAGGAGGAGAAGGTGGTGTCTTGGGCATAATGATGTAAAGAATTCCGCCGGAGAACTTTGCGCGGATTCCATTTGTTTTGCAATCTCTTTGGACTTTCGCTTCTTTACGAAAACGGCTCCATCTACTTCTGTCTTCTGTTACTGGTCGTTCTCCGGTGATCGTCAGAACTCCATGGTTGTTTATTTGAACCTTCAGTTGATCTTTCGTGAAACCTGTAATTGTTGGAAAATTTTAAGAAATATATTAAGTTTAGGTAATACTCTGTTGGAAATCGGAGAAAGAAGAATGAAAAATTATTAGAAATACTTAATTTTTCTTTTGTGATTGTTGTAAAAAAAAATAATAATTTAACTACATGAAAGTTTAAAACACAAACTACTTAACAAAATTTTAAAAATACATACTTATAATTTTAATTTCTTAATAACATAAAAGAGTCTTCTTAATTTACAAATTATTATTTTTGACAGTAATACTACAAATTTTTTACTATTCACTTTTTCATGTATATATTCTAATGTAATTATATATATATATATTAAAAATGTATATATTTTAATAATTACATATGCTAATAATATTTTCACACTAATAACAAGACAATCAGGTTTTTAAGAAGATAACAACATACACCCTTATCCTCGGAAATACATGTATGTATGTAGATATACCTGGAAGATGGACTTCAAGAATGTCTTGTTCTTCTCCAGAAGTTTGCCATTTGCAAAGAGGTTCGAATTCTTCGTAAGAGCGAGAAGGTGCTGCCTTGCTTGTCATTAATCTGAACATGCTTAATCAATCAATCAATGTTTTGAGTGAGTTAAAAGAGTTGATTCAAATGATGAGAAGATGAATACTTATATTTCTGATAAATACACTGCTTATGTTTTATATATAGGTAAACTATTCATGATAAAGTGAAGAGATTTCTTTTGGGTTTTCTTCTTGGAGGGAGGAGAATTATTCTTTTTTGAATGTCTAAGGTTTAATTTTGTTTTAAGTATATATATATATATATATATATATATATATATATATGTTGCTTACTCATCTTTCTTAATTCACATGCAGTTATCCTTCTTAGCTGGTGAAAACTTTATTCTTTCTTTTTTTTCCCTGTTCAAAGTTCTCTCTGTTTTCTTCTTAAATTAATTTGCTAACAGCCACTTAAAGAGAATGATGTGAATTCAGATTATACTTCTATATGTGTCATCATATAGAGATTATTATAGTGTATTATAATCTGTGTTTATATATTATTTATTGATGAATAATTTTGTCAGTATCTATGTTGATACCCAAATCTAAATATAGTTAAAAATAATTATTTATAAATTTTAATATGTTTAAATTAAATATAAGATGAATATGATAATTAATATGTGTTTTTTGAATTTTCTTATGTGGTTCATATATTAGTTTTAATTATGGTTGATGAATTAAAATTAATTATAGTAATGTATTTAAAAATAAGTATATAAATATATAGTTATATTCTTATCGATCTACTGTACAATCACAAATTTAAAAATTGAATTTTTTAATTAGTCTCTTCTTCTTCTTCTTCTTCTTCCTTTCGTTACTAACGAAATATTATTTTTCCCAACTGACTCTTGAAAATTAAAATGAAAACCCTCAGCCATCCCTAAGCATAGTTTTGAAAAATTCCACATAATAGGAAAATGTTTTCAGAAAAATTAATTAATGAGCTAGGATTCCATCTTAATTATAATTCTCTCTAATACTGAAGTAAAGTTTGGATACCCTTTAATGGAGGCTGCTTGGACGATGAAATCTTGGAGCTTTGAGTATTTGCAGCTAAAATGAAAGAAAAACTGGAAAAGGTACAATTTTTTAAACACCCAAAAAAAATTTTGGGATTACATTTAATTTTATTGATGTTTATATCCATATATATATATATATATATATGTATGTACAGATGTTTATTTACATGTTCTGCTTGCAGACTTTCTTGTAAACACATGCATCTTTAAACCCAGTCGTGGTTCTTATGAAAAGATTTTGGAGATATTCAGTAGAAATTTGAGGGATGCAAGTGATCCACAAACATAACGTATGCGTATATATATATATATATATATATATATATATCCACTATTACTATACGAGTGAATTATATTTATGTAAATAACACCATCTTGGATACAAAATGCACATTCATATAATCTAAACTAAACCCAGTTGTAAGTGCTTTATGTATATATGCCTGTGTGTATATATATATATATATATGTAGTTTAGTCAATGTGTAAGTCTGCAAAAAAGGGTAGTTGGTTGGATTGGAATGAAGCAGAGGATCAAGTCAAGAACAAAGTGTTTTTGAAGCTAAAGCAAGAAGGAAATCTGTATAATCCCCAGATGGTAGACTCTCACAGATTGAATCTCTCAGTTCCACTCCATATTTCTTCTTGAAAACTTTCTGAATCTCATTCATGTCTACCTCTGCTCTGCTCACCATCACCCTTGTTAAGCTGCTCCCTCTCTCTCCTCTTCCTTTTATGCCTCCATGCAATTCCTTCACATGAAAACCAAATCCCAGTTAATGGAATTTCTAGTTCCTTAAACCGACAAAGTCTCTTCATATATATTTATATATGTAATTGAAAATTATTTTGACATAATTAATGATAAATACAAAAGATAAGATCATGGTGATTAATGGAATTTGCAAGGACTAGGTTAATTACCTTCGCGTAGTAACTAAGTGGGTTACACATGCATTTTATAACCAATTTCAAAGTGTTTTCGAATTCAGTCGAGTTTTCCCTCTTGAATGACTGCAAGAAGTGAAAATGTTTGATATATATATATGAGTAATGTTAAGAAAGATTAAATGAGAATGAGATAGGTGAAGCAAGTTCTATATATATATATATATATAGCACCTTTATGTAGTCATATCCATATATGTGTTTATAGCAAGAGAATGTCAACTTGAGCTGTGGAATGCTCCTTTTACTGAAAATCTCAAGCACAACAGCTTCTTCAATCCCCCCTGCACTTCCTTCTCCTACCTCGTAAAGCCTTCTTGCATCGCATTTTGCTACGTGTTGACTCACATCCATCTCGTGTGCCTTGTGTGATGCTCCGAATGCTACAAGAATCTAACCCATTATCACTTTAATTTTAGTTTTGTTATACATGAGTTGACTCTTATTTTTCAAAAATAATTTATTGAAACTGATGAAAAGAGCAAATAACTTTTTAGAAAACCGACAGTTTTTTATGAATGATGAGTATTTCTATTTTTTTCTTTGTGGGTGTAATTTTAATTTCGTGTATACCCTTATACATGTATTTATTACGAGAAAGATTATATTTTTTATAAATACTTAATTATCATATTGAGATGTAAGAATTTTTGTTTAAAAAAAATACCTTTTGGAAGGAATGTGGAGGATCGATGTTGATAATATCTTGTTCAAGCTGACTTTTGAATCTTGCTTGGTATGCTTGTTTCATAAGAGCAATATGACTAGATTTTCTACCCACAAAGATCTCCACAAGAGCCTTGAAATCAATATCATCTTGTTTAAGAGCTTCTCTAGCCACGACAGCATCACGTTCACACGAATCCAGCATCCACATCAATAAGGCTGCAGATGCTTTCGCCAAACTCTGCCCACTATTAATGCTATTGCTTCTCCGAAAAAGAAAACTTGCCAAGTCTTCTCCATACATAGTCTTATAAGTCTCTCTAATTTGTTTACGTTCAACTCGGGTTCGATTTGCCAAAGCTCGAATCAATCTGTTTGTTCGTCCCCAACATTCGTGAATTTCTCTGCATTCGTTCTCGAAACCATGGCTTGAGGAGGGCAAAACTGCAGTACCCATGTTTTAAAATCATAAATTCTTGCCATTAAACTTGCTATTTACCTCCATTTCCATGACTTATATAGATGCAGCCATGACTTGCAGACCAAGGAAAGAACCTCTTGTCAACTAACCACTTTTTTTTTTTCAAGAAAAACCAATTAAAGACATCTTATTAGAGTAAAATAAGAAAAGAATTACATAAGAATTTTAGGTTCTACCATATAGATATGGGAAATATACATAGTGGGTTTAAAATGTGCTTTGTGATGATGATGAAAGGAAGAAAGAAAAGTAAAAGAAGAAGAAATATCTTTAAATTTTTTAGCAGAAAGTGATGAGTAAGAGACTTGTAGTTTTGTGGAAGTGGCATGTGAAAATTTGTTTGGTTGCAGACAGTTTCATGGATTTCCTAGTAGACTATGAGTCTGAAAAAGAAAAGATGCTTCTTCTTTTTCCTCTTTTCTTTTTCACTGCTTTCCATTTTTCCTATTTCCTTCTAATATAACTTCCACCATTTTCTTTTTCTTCATCCCATTTGACTTTTTCTCTTTATTTAATCCTCACACTCTAAATGAATCAAGAGGAAGTCTGCGAAAAAAGACTATACATTTCGTTGTATTCTCAATGAAACCTAAAATTTTTTAATGAGTTTCAACTTTCACATATCGTGGTATATGGTATAAATTCGAACTTTGCTTAAAAATAAACTCTTAATTATAACAGTATCGAACAAACCATCATTTTATTAGATTGTTAATATTTATATTCTTTATTTTAAATGTATGGATAATATAATAAAACGGAATGATGATGAAAGTTAATTTTTTTGTTATTTTAATAAATTTATTAAAAAAATTGTACTTCTCTTCATTTTCAAACACTAAACATACAAAAGTTTAATATTTTTTTAGAGAATAAACCCATTTAAGAAGTAAGAGTGGGAGGCTTGACAAAACATGAGCAATGAGGGAGACAAATTTTTTGGGTTGGGCTTTAGTGTAAAATTTTATATATTTAAGAAAATATACTCAACAATATATAATTTAAAAATCAAAGAAGTTTAAAAATTATTCAATGAATTATATTGTAGTATTTTAGGAGTGAACCACACAGCCAATCAAATGATAGTGGAATCACATTGATTTATTGTTTTCATCATCAAATCCCAAAAAGGTTGATGAGTTAAAGCTCCCCACTTGGCAGGCAAAAAATGGGTTAGACCAATTTCAGCACTTACCATACCATGTGTGGTGGATGTCTACCATGCACCCATCAATATCATTCTCTCTCCACTATAAATTATTTTTCTTCGTCATATTCACATTTAAAATGTTATCTTTTAATCAAACCATAACTTAAGTTAAGTTAGTTTTGTTACCAAACATTCAGTCATTCATTTAAAAAAAAAAAAAAATCTAAACTAATTGAAACTGAAGCCTAAACTTTGATATTGAACTTAAACTAATCAGTTAATAAAGTGGTACATCCCAACTCAATGTTGCAACATCTCTTATGCACACTTAACTTTTGAGGGTTTCGTCCGTTGCCAATTTGATACTTAACGATAAAATTTATGATTTGTCACTTGATGTTATCTTACGATCCTTACACTTCATTTATCACTCACTCTCTAGCTCATGTTACCGCTCACAGTTACGTTCTTCTAAATTTCAGTTGATATCATATGTGAATCGCTCACACTCAAACCTCAACTCTACTCTCCTGCACCACCGGAGCCTCAGGTGATCAAGCCCTCACTCTAGGGCTCTCATTTGTCGACCCTCACTCTCTAGCTCCAACAACATCTCAACCAATCAGGCCTCACCTCCAACCTAGATCCTCTAGCTCCAAGGTCTCGGACAATTAAGGTAGAGGTACCACTTAACTAACCTGATTATAATTAAGTATTATTTTATAATACTTTGCTACTATTTTATTAATTTACGTATAAATTACTTATAATTTTATTTGTATATAATTTTGTACTATTATGATAATATAGTTCGAACTAATGTTATATTTAAATAAATCGTTCTAAATTGATCTAGAAGTAATCTAATACAGTCTACTCTTAAATTTAAAAGTTACGAAATTTTCGATCTAATTTGAACTAATTCAATCTTAAACCGTTTCACACATCTACCCTGTGATAAGTAAAAAAAAATTAATCTTTATCAAAATTCTACACAACAAAATAAGGTCCGTTACGTACTTTTAATTACTAATTTTGATCCTAATTATTAAAAACTCACACACTTGTTTTTATCACAATGTTAATTTTTTATTATAGTATAAATTACTTTTTAACAAGGATGCATATATTAATAATTAAAATTAATTTTTTAAGATAAAATAGAATACGAGTCTATTTAAACAAAAATAATTAATTTAACATAATAGTCTACTAAGTAAAATTTTTAATTTTTTTCAAAAAAATTACGATATCGAATCTTATAAAAAATAAAAAATTTATTACTGGTAAATATATTATAATAGTTCACATATTATGTTTAATTTAATAAAATTAAAAATTTAATTTATTAATATATTAATAAAATTATGATTAAATTAATTATAATATATAAATAAAAATAACATAATGTATCGTTTTAAGTTTATTGAGTTAAAAGTAAATATAATAAGTTGAAGATTCGAAAAAACTTTTACCGTAAAAAAAAAAAAAAAAAACGGACGGTTAGTTTTTGTTTGGATAAAAAGTGAAAAGACGTAAATTAGCACGCGCAGTCCTCATCGGCATCCCGCAAGTCCACGGAAGGTCCCAGTAGGCGCTCAAAGTTCAAGGGAGCGTCATCATATATTGACCGACGCACCAAGCAAAGTATATCTGATATTCTTTTATATTTCCCAATTTACCCTTTTTATTTAAATTTACCTTAATACCCTTCTCCATTTACCCACCACACTATCCCTCTCTTTTTTTTTAAATTGCATTAATTGAAGAAATTTTGATTTTATAATTGTGATTAAGGGATTATTATGCTCAAATTTTTTAATTAATTGATTAACGAAAAATTAAATTAAAATAATTGGTATATAATATGTATTTTAATGAGGAAAAATAAAAATGAAAAGGATTTTGTTTCCAAATTTAAAAAAGTATTCCAATGGATAATCTGATATCGGGAAGGGCAAAATGGTCAAATGGGAAAAATGAAGGTAAGCAGAAGGTAAACACAAGGGCATTAATGGTGAATCTAAAGTCGCACCTTACATTCTCTCTTCCTGCTCAGGTCCGTCCAGCTTGTCTGCTGGCTCTCTCTCTCTCTCTCTCTCTCTCTCTCTCTCTCCCCCCATTACCTGACGCCATCACTTGCACAATTTAGGAGCCTAGTTCTTCTACAATGCAGGTGAGTTTTCTTTCTTGTCAACCAAAAGACCCTTCTCTACTTTTTGATTTTTAAACAATCCCAATATACAAAATGAATTCTTGATTTTGTTTCTTCCCTGTTTTTTTTTTTTGTTTTCGCCCAGACAAGAACTGTTCAAGTAAAGAACGTTTCAGATCTAGCGAGTGAGAGGGAGATTCACGAGTTCTTCTCCTTCTCTGGAGATATTGAACACATTGATATCCAGCGGTACGTTTATTTGTTTAGTTCTTGGATCTTTGTTGCTTTATTTGGTCGCTGTGAAAATGCTATCGAAAGGAAAGGAAACTGAAATTTTAGATGATGGGTTTTATGTGGGTTTAGAGTTTTACTTCTTGTTTATTTATTAGAATTAAAAGAAGACGACTTGCTGAAAACTGTTTCTAGTTTGCCGCCGGTTTTGAGTTCTTCTTTCTTTATTTTTTCGTTTCTCAGTTTTTCCTCGCATGCTCCGGAGATATTCATGCGAATTGAGTATTTAATTGTTGAATTTTTTCTTGGTAGAAATGAAATGAAATGATGTTTGGTTTGGAGGATGGATGGCATAACTTTAAGTTAATTAAACTCGGCTGTATATTACAATATTTTATTTTAAGCGTCAAAGTAGATTCTTATTTGTTTTCGCTCATGTTTGTTGTGTGTTATATATATGTATATGTATGTATAGATGTTTTGAGCAACCAAGTGTACTTTATGGGTTTCTTCAAGTTGTACATTTTTGTCTTTTTGATGCAGTGACTCTGAACAATCAAAAGTTGCATTCGTTACTTTCAAAGATCCTAAAGCACTTGAAATCGCCTTGTTGTTATCGGTATGTTGTCAAAGTAATTTGAGTTTATGAACTGTTTCTTTTGATCGATTCTCAAAAACAAAAATGTCCTGACTGTCATTGAGAATATAGTCAATCTTTGCTATGTAATAATTTCTTTTTTTGGAAATTAGAATTAATTTTCTATTTTCTAAAAATAACAATGTCCAGCTGCAGGTTAGGTTCTATATACTTATTTAAAGTTGAGATAGTTATTAGAACTATTTTTGTAAAAATTTTAGATTGCCAGATAGTGGGTTTTATAATTTATTGTCTTTGAAATTTTACTCTCCTTTGCTTTGGTTAATGAGAGGTAATGTTGCTTCAGAAAAATTTTGGGGGGTGGGGGTCACTCGTTTCTTCTTTGTTTCATTTTGAGGTTCAACAGCATGGACTTGATTTCTCAATGTACCAAAAACTTAAATGTGGGTGTATAAACTAGTTTTTCTCATTTATCTCATTAGCATATAAATCATGCAGTGGAACTAATTTTAGGTTCTTGCTGGGAAAAGAACAAGGATCCAAATTCTCCATTAGTTGTTAAACACCTACTTCTATGTGTAGCAGATGTGGTTTAATTACCATATAAGATAGTAGATCAAATCACGTTGAGCATTGTGAGCTGTTTTCTGATGAGATCCGGGCTGAATGGTTGTCTGTGTAATTCAACAGGATTTATTTCCAACAAGGGACACTCTTGAAAGAAGAGAACAATCCTGAAAAAAATGTAGCTGTATTTTACAGTTGAAATGAATTTGCATTAAGATCACTTGCTTTCTCAAAAATAAAACCCTTGTTATCAACAGTCAATATTTTTGAAGTTAATTCTTTTGAGTAAACTACCACATGATTTTAGCTATATGAAGTTTCTCTTAGGTATGGCTTTCATTTCTTTTTCTGGACTTATAGCAATTTTTTGTCATATTTTTAGTTAACATAATGAAGTTCTTCGAATCCTGTAAGAATTTTATGATAAAAGACATCATTTCTGGATTGCTTTACATATGGCATAGTCTTTTTTGGGAAGGGCATCACCATCATTTGCCATAAGTTTGTGATTGGAAATCTGCTGCTTTATTTGAATATATAGTCTGCATCGTGTCAATCTGGAAAGTCAAAACAATTATGTTTTAATCTCAGGGAGCAACAATAGTAGACCGGATTGTGAGCATATCCCCAGCTGAAAACTATGTTCCAAAACACCAAGTGCAGGTAAGTTGACACGATAAGTATATTTGTTTGCTTTCAACTGCTTTAGCTGACTTTTTATGTTTGCAATTTATGCAGGATGTAGCCGTGGTTAATAATGCTGTATCTGTAGTTCCTGATGAAAATAGTTTGCCAAATGCCGAGGTAATCAAAATCGTTGGTGCATACTTGAATCATTGTTAAAGTTCTAGATTCCCTGTCAATGATCTCAGAATGCTGTTTGGTAAAGTTTAGAGGCTACTGATCATTTCCAGATGCCTCCTACTTAGTAATATGTTAATATGCAAGTTGCATTAGATAAATGCAGTTGTTGCCTTACAATTGCACTTTATATTGTCCTTTTTCTAGCTGTTGGTAACCTGTCTTTTCTATCAGGCGAGGAGTAGTCCCAATAGAAATGGAAGGATTTATGTCAGCAGAGCACAAGATGTGGTTGCGAGCATGCTGGCCAAAGGTTCAGCACTTGGTCAAGATGCAGTAAATAAAGCAAAGGCATTTGATGAGAAGCATCAGTTAACAGCCAGTGCATCTGCCAAAGTTATGTCCTTTGATAAAAGAGTTGGGCTTACAGATAAACTAACAGTTGGTATTTCAGTGGTTAATGAGAAAGTGAAGTCTGTTGATCAGAGGCTTCATGTATCCAATAAAACAATGGCAGCAATATTTGCTGCAGAGAGGAAAATAAATGACACTGGATCAGCTGTCAAGTCGAGCAGGTGAGGAATTTCTCCCTTGGAAGGGGATGCTCTTTTTCTCTGGCTGTGGTTTGAATTACAGAATATATCCATGTCAAATCACCATATTTTGTCTAAGTGAATGATTTTTTATTTATGATGCTCGTGACTTGGTGTAGGACTTGTTGACCTGATCTTGGAAATTCTTAACTAGAGTTTTATACAGTGCATGTTAATGGCGCCTTTTCAGGTGTTAGTAAATGGTTAATTAAAGTATTTTATTTCACTAATTGTAGTTTGTGCTGGTGCACTACTAATGATTTTTGCAATCCATTTATTTTCTGTTTAGTATGAGTCCTTGCTAGTGGCATGACTGGCATAGTTCAGAACTTCCATATGTAATCGGGTTAACATCTATAGTTAATCAGCTTTTTCACGGGTTCATGCAGAAGATTGGAACCATTTCTTTTTCTTTTTCCCATTGAGAAACAGACGGGAATCATTCTTGTGCACAAGGATTTTATATTAATTCATTTATTTTGGTGGCGAAAGGGAAGGGAAGGAGGGTCACAGTTTATATTTTTGTTAGTTTCATTTCTTATTTGCATGTGTGATCTTGTTAAAGAAAATATTCTCTGTCTGCTTTCCTTTTGCTTCCAATAATTTGAAACTGGCTGGCTGGCTACTTTTTGGTAATTGTCTTTTAGTACAGATAAGATGTCCTCTTAAACTTTGGTCATAATTTTGCATGTTTCTCCAATAGAAAACGGAGAAGTGCTGGTCAATAACTTTGTGCTTGTTTTGAATAGGTACGTTACCGCAGGGGCAGCATGGTTTAGTGGTGCTTTCAGTAAAGTTGC